GTGCACTCACCTGCTTCAAAGAATGGACTGAGTCCAAGCAATTCTTCCACTACAATAGTCAGGTCTCCAACAGAATACCTGAAGAGCAATGTCACTGTCTATCACCTACCCACCCAGAGCTCCACTGCACATGCCTCTGTGTACCAGCTCAGCAATTCCAAATATGTAAGAATATACAAAGGGATGTGAGGTCTTGAACTTCATACTCTACCTATAACCACCCTCCAGGAGCAGCTGAGACTCCCTCACAGGCTTCTACTTTACTTATAAGAAAGCCCACAAGAATTTATTTCCTTTGGAGTATCCAGGCAGGACCACAAGAGAGCAGGTTAGACAGGGTAGATGGTTGATGAATTAGCACACAAACATGAAGACAGAATTTTGCCACAGCATGAACATATTATTTATCAAATAGTGTATTTCCCAGTAACTTACGCTTTTAAGAAACCAGAAGGAAAACAGGGTTCTGGATGCTTCCTTTTGACAGACTGTATTTCAAATTTTGGGCAATAGTCTTGGCCCCTCTGTAATTCTGTCAGCCAAAATATTCAGACCAGCATGCCAAAAATCATACTTAAAAATCCAAATTTAAGCAGATAAATCAAAGCTTCTTGCTTTTCTCAAATTCTGTTCAAAGCATTGGACCCCTATTAACACAACAACAGATGAAGATGCCAATATTTGAAATGTATTTCATATAATGACTGAGAAGCTTTTGCAAAGAAAAAAAGACAAGTGAACAAATTGATATGGATTTTGTATGCGTTCATCCTTTACAAAGCCTGTTACAGAAACTTAGGGTGCTTTTTTTTAAAGCTTCTTCTAAGTACAAGATGTTTGCAGCTAGCCATTATATAAGGATATAATCAAAAAGGATGAATACTTACCAATAAGGTTGATTAAAAGAAGTTACACTCATCAAAATTGTTTAATCTCTTCTCAATTTGACTGTATACATAGACATACTAAATTGTAAGCTGCTTTAAAGGGAAGTAATTCTAAAAGGATGAGTGTTCTTGACAATGTCACCAGTTGTTGTGGTTTTAAGGCCACCTGGCAACTAAGCACCACACAGCCTCTTGCTCTCTCCTCCCCTCGGGGGGTGGTCCTCACAGTCTTCCCCTGCTCCAATGTGAGTCCTTCCCATGGGCCACAGTTCTCCAATAACTGCTCTGATGTGGGTCCCTTCCATAGAGCCATGGCCTCCTTTGGACACAGTCACCTCCTCCAGGGCGGGATCTGCTCCACTGTTAAATCTCCATGACCTTTAGGCAAGCTCTGCTCTCCATGGACTGCACGGGGAGCGTCACCACAATCTTCACAAGGGGCTGCAGGAGAATCTCTGCTCCAGCACCTCCTCTCTCTTCTTTCTCTTCCCTGACATTCATGTCTGCGTAGGTGTTTCTCTCACACCCTACTCCTCTCTCTGCTGCAGGTTCTTTCACTGGCTCCTGAGAAACTCATGGCTCTTGGGCATGGGCTGTGCTGGGTCAGCTGGGCCATGGCTCCGCAGACTGGGTTGCAGCAGAGGCTGGGCAGGCAGGCAGGCAGGCAGGCAGCTGGACAGACGGGCTGGAGCGGGCTGGGCACTGCCCAGGGCTGCACTACTGCTCCCTGCCCTGTGTCCCTTCTTAAACAGGTTATTCGAAGAGGCGCTGACTGGCTCGGCCTTGGCCAGAGGCAAGTCCAGCTTGGAGCTGGGGAAACTTCCAGCAGTTTCGCACAGGGGCCATTTCTGTAGTCCCCTCCCCCACTACCAAAGCCTTGGAGGTGGGGGAACTTCTACCAGTTTCTCACAGGAACCATCACTGTAGCCCCTCCCTCACCACACAAAACCACAACACCAATGCATAAGAGTAAGCAGTTTTTCTTTCATTAGAAAACATAGAGGTTACTACTTCGTTTGTATGTTAAATTTATACTATGCCAGAAAAGTTTTTTTAATGTCTTTTAAGAATGCTTTCAGTAGGAAAGACCCATTACCATTTTTCTCCAATCTTCAAAGCATCTTCAGCCAATCACACACTCTTCTTCTGAAGATGAGGCTGGTTTGCATATTTGCATGTAGCAAATGAGGAAACCAGTTTCTGAAATTAAGATTAATTGTTTGTATGACAACTTGTACTTGAGACTTCATGGTGTAATTCCTTCTACTGGAGCTGGGAAAACCTCATGAGAAATAGCACCACCAGAAAGTGAAGAATTCTCTTTGAGCAGAACTGTGCAAGCAGTCGGTGTAACTAAAAGCAATAGTGCAATGTTCTGGACAAGGAAGAACCAAGCCTGCAACATCACAGGCATAACACTGTATCAAAAAAAAAAAAAGTGTACATGGTCCCATGACTGAGGATTGCAGCATAATACATACATGCAAGAAAGGTGAATGTTACAGACACTCTGACTGAACAGCCACTTCTGAGTTGCAGTTGCATTGCTTCTATGACCACATGTTTATGTGAGATATTTCTTAGAAATGTAAAATGACACAGGACATGAAGTAAAAGAACTGCAACACAAAATCTCCAAGTTCCACTGAACTACCAGCTAAATGGGACATCTGGCCAACTACTGGCAACAGTCCATCCCCTGAAAGTCAGGAGCAGTAAAGAGATTATTTACCAGCAACTCTAAGTCTGCAGTAGTGCATTCCTCCCTTTCAGGCCTTAGTACATAGTTCCTAGGGAAAATGTCATCCAGCTCTCTCTACTTCCAACCTCATGAAGCATGTTAAACCCTCTTAGAAATAGTTTAAAGAACCAAGGGCAAGGAAATTTCTTGTGTGTTTTATCTGAAGTAGGAAAGGAATTCAATGTTTGTCTTGTAAGAGGTCTCTACAAATACTTTTGGAAATCAGAATTTCTGCTTCTGCTAGCAGAACCAATTGGATGCAGAAACAACCACAGCAAGAACTGGGAACTGGGTTGAAAAGTAAGAGCCCAGTCCTACCCACCCTTTCTTTCTTCTGTTCTGAACTGCATATGGGAGACACCATCACCACACTGGAAACATTTCAAATAGGAACAGAGATCTATGCACATTAATCTGGGAGAGAGTTTTCCCCCAGCAGATGCAACAGCCCTCCCATTCATTTTGTGCCATACATAAGCATGTGTG